GCGTCCCATCGATTGGCGGGAGGTACGGTAATTGCAGTGACATTTGCCGCATGTCGCAAGGAAAAATGCCGCGATAGGGGAGAAGTTCCGTTACCCCTCATACCCCATTCTTCTTAAGTGGATGCGATGGAGGCGGGAGCATTACTAAGAGGATTTGTAGCTGAGCAAGGACTTCCTTTTTCCTAAGTTAGAGCTACGAGTTTCTTCGCATGAGTTTTTTTTTACTATTCACAGGCATAACTGTGAGTTGTCAACAGTATCGGACAGTATCATGCATGTAGGCATGACTGTTCTCGATTCTAACAAAGCCTTTCAATTGAAGTTCTATTCAAGAGGGACTTAGTCTGGAGTGAGCTAGAAAGCATTTCTTGCGAATTCAATCAACCGAAAAGTGAAAGAAGTGTCCACTACATACGTGAACGCCACCCCCTACGCTCTTACTCCGGGTATAAAATGCCACTGATACAGCCATCCCAAGCGACCCCTGACGGTTTTTTCGCTCGACTTCATTTTCCCATTCCATCTGCCTGCCATTGTAACAAAACTTTCAGAGCTCTGCCCCACGGTATGTCCTAGTGAACTTATGTTAAATTCATAACTTAGTTGTCTCACCCGGCAGCTATCAAATCGACACTTAACTTTTTCACTAGCTTAATCTAAAACCATGTTTCTTCAGAAACATTTCATTCCTATGAAGTTCCTGCGCGACATCCTGTTTGCTCTGACATCGATCGGAACGATTTTCGCCCGTTGGTATAGTTAAATCAACTTTGCCTGTCAACATGTCACGGAATTCGAGAATATGATTTAGATTTGCGCCTTCCTCCTCCCTTGGCACAGCTCCCGATCAAGCCTCCCATGTCTCCTCCATTTGCTGAAATCTCACCTCTTCTTCTTTCTCCTCCTCAGCCAGCTCCATGTCTACCTCCTTTCCCGGAGCGAATTCTACCTCCTCCGCTAGTATCTGTTCAGTCCCCACCTCCGGTACCGAGCCTACCTTCTCCTGCGGTTCCTCCTCCACTTGCTCCTCCTGTTCCCCTACCACCTTTAGCTGCGCCTATCTCACCCACTTCGTCACCTTCTCTTCCACCAACTTGCTCGCTGCCAATCATTCAAGGACCATGTGAGGAACGGCTTATCAAGTAAGTATACATGAAGGTTAATACTGTAAAGTTGCAGGTAGATGCGTACAAGGAAAAGGGCAGCAAATTATTAGATATGCCCGAGAAACAACTTTAACTTAAGGCGTCTGATTAAAAAAACTTGAAAGCAGTGCGCCACGCTTTTTTCTTTTATCGAAAATCCTGGATGACATTGGAAAGTACTCAGCACAGGTCTTATAAAGGTAAAAGGATAAAGGATAAAGTTCTTGGCGTTAATCAATCCCGTCCGAGGGATGCGCCCCCGCACTCGACTTCCATTCAGAATCGTAGTGGCGTAATGAGTGCGTATGTGGCCTATACAATGACTTGCGGTGGCCAGCCGATGTACAAGTCAGTGCTTTTATTCTCCCAGACGAGTCTGGTACCAA